AATACTATATAAAATACTATATAAAATACTATATAAAACATAGTATACTATAAACTTAATAAAATTTTAAGAATTCGCTAAAATGTATTTTTAATAGATAGTATGTGGAGACCAGGGTACCTCATGTCTTTGAAAACTTATTTCTCTTATAAATTGCGCTCAATCCAAAAATTTGACTTTTATCCTTTTTTCAGTTGATTTTCTCTTGCTTTCTTGTAAATTCAAAACTAAGACCTCTTTCGACGTTTCCAGATGGCAAGAGAACGATAACTGTAGTAATGAGAAGGTAGAGCTGCTTCTGTCTCGGTTTAACCAGCGTTGTCAATAATATTAAAGAACTTTGGTGTTTCATAGATGTCGACAGTCCTTCACAGCGTGAGATTAGAGGCTCCAGACGCGAGGGATCAAGTGCAGAAAGGAGTGGTAAGGCATGAACTTGGAAAGTACCATGCATACTGAAAAAGACCACATAATGTCAAGGAGCCTTCATGGGATAAACACGAGAATGTGGATCATACTGAAAAGCGTTGAAAAAAGTCAACGTGCGGCGAATTCGGAGACTCATGGTATATCTATTGTGTTCGTAATTTTGTTCGTTTCTGTTACCCTGTAGAGTTAATTTCCGAGGTAACTCAAAACATATGCGCCATGGGTAAATATTTCATGCCAAAAATAAAATGTTGGGCGGCTGAAGGACCCCGTAGTCCACGGACTATTTTCTTCGGGGATTTCTCTGGAATGAATGTTCTCCTTAAATGTATGTAAGATTCATTCATAAAGCTCACTAGTGATATTTCGGCATATTTATTTGCAGAAAGGTCTGAATCGACGAATCGAGCTGGTGCTACTGAGGACACGCAGCAGGGTGGCGTTAGTATTCGTGTCATTGGGAAAAACAATACGGTCTACACTGGACGAGACAATTGTACCTTCAATGTCAAGCCAAGAGAAAATTAACGTTTTGGGCCTTTTATCTTAGTCATTCACAATATTTGCCCCTCAGGGAGCGGCGCCCGCGGGTGTCTATTCTTTGGTAGGCTTTCCCGCGTTTTTACATCACCAGATCTGGTATCACGCGGCCTTGGAGGGCGTGTAGGCAACCGTCCAATTCAGCCAACTCGATGTTTATTATCACCATGTTACAATAGCACAAGTTGTATTGCCACTTAAGTTCAATGCACGGATTGACCTTCAACAGTAGAACCGCTTTCCAAGTAATGAGCCTCACTTAAGGAATGACTAGTTGAACCACTAGGCCGTTGGGGAGGAAAGCAGGGCTGGACTGGATGGGTCATGAGGCAGCCCACCGGCCTTATAAGGAAACGTCAGTGTTCAGTGACTAACCCCACCCTCAAATCCAAATGAGCCAATCATATTCATGCACGCCGAATATGATAGGAAACTTGTATGATGGATAGAAAATAGAGTGTCCAGCAAATGTATAAAATCCCTATGAGCTCTGGCAATCGGGCAGAGAGCCGCACATCGAGCCGGCCGAATAAACCACGTCAACTACTTTACAACTTTGTCCCAAGTCATTCTCTTGTGTCGATCCATATAACCTGTCGGGTTATATTATTGTTTAAAATCAGACTAAAGTGGAAGAAAGTCATACTATTCATATACATTCATATACGTATATGACTGGCTATAAATACAGCGACGGGTCATGCTTTTGGTGAGAGCGGGGCAAGCTAGTGTAAACGGTAAATCTGTCCCCCGGTAAAACTGTCCGGGGGACAGAATTATCTAGGTAAGAGTGTACCCCTTGCCCGGTAAATCTTTCCCCCTCCAGGTTTTTCTGTCCCCTACGGGTAATTTCCCCTCGTTTTCCCACGCAGAAGTTATTTTCGTGTTTATTTGACGAATTCAGTCCACGTGGAATACAGTTAAATGTTTTAGCCCTCGATCTCCAACAGTTCAAAATACGGCAGGGTGGGGGGTTATGAGATGTAAAATCAACCGAACTATGTTTCTGTATGAAATCACATGAGGGAGCATTCCGTTAGCTGCATGCACACTTCTCGAACGCGTAGTAATTATCAGTCACTCGGTGCCGGTGTAGCTGTATGTCATTGCTGACTTGGGAAGGAAAGATAACGACCGCGCAAATCGCATCTCCCCTTGCCGCTGCGCGCAAACCACGGTAAAAAGTAGTTCTGGGTAATCTACTCCATGAGGAAAAAAGAGGGCGTGTTTTTTAAGTATTCACCGCATAGGCGCGCGTTTATGACGGGATCAATGACGCATTTGATGCGGTGCAACGAATTTATTCCTCGATGTATGGTCTTTGCGTACACGCAGAACGCGTGCAAGATAGAACCCTCTTGGAAAACTTACCGCCATCTGTCTTTCTTTTGCTGCTTGAGGGTGCACTCCAACTCGGGGCGGATGGACCTCTTCACTAATAATCATGCACGCATGCGCGCAAGTGG